GGAATAGAAGGAAAGTTCCTCAACATTATAAAGCTATATATGACAAACCTACAGCCAGCATTATACTTAATGAGAGAGAAAAACTAAAACCATTTCCCTCTAAAATAGGAACCAGACAAGGATGCCCACTATCTCCACTCCTATTCAACATAGTACTGGAATTCCTAGCCAGAGCAATTAGGCAAGAAGAAGGAATAAAAGGAATACAAATAGGTAAAGAAACTGTCAAAATATCCCTATTTGCAGATGGACATGATCCTATACCTTAAAGACCAAATAAACTCTACTCAGAAGCTTCTAGACATCATCAATAGCTATAGCAAGGTAGCAGGCATATAAAATCAACATAGAAAAATCATTAGCATTTCTATACACTAACAAATGAGCAAACGGAAAAAGAATGTATGAAAACAATTCCATTTACAATAGCCTCAAAAAAAAATCAAATACCTAGGTGTAAACCTAACAAAAGATGTGAAAGACCTCTACAAGGAAAACTATACACTTCTGAAGAAAGAGATTGAGGAAGACTATAGAAAGTGGAGAGATCTCCCATGCTCATGGATTGGTAGAATCAACATAGTAAAAATGTCGATACTCCCCAAAAGTAATCTACATGTTTAATGCAATTCCCATCAAAATTCCAATGACATTCATTAAAGAGATTGAAAAATCTACTGTTAATTTATATGGAAACACAAGAGGCCACGAATAGCCAAGGCAATACTCAGTCAAAGACAATGCAGAGGGTATCACAATACCTGACTTCAAACTATATTACAAAGCAATAACAATAAAAACAGCGATGGTACTGGCACAAAAACAGACATGAAGACAGTGGACAGAATAGAGGATCCAGATATGAAGCCACACAACTTAACCAACTTGTCTTTGACAAAAGGAGCTAAAAATATTACGATGGAGAAATAGCAGCCTTCTTCAACAAAAAACTGCTGGGAAAACTGGTTAGCAGTCTGCAAAAAACTGAAACTAGATCCATGTATATCACCCTATACCAAGATTCAACTCAAAATGGATCAAGGATCTTAATATCAGACCCAAACTCTAAAGTTGATACAAGAAAGAGTAGGAAATACTGGAGTTAGTAGGTATAGGTAAGAACTTTCTCAATGAAACCCCAGCAGCACAGCAACTAAGAGATGTCATAGATAAATGGGACCTCATTAAAACTAAAAAGCTTCTGTTCATCAAAAGAAATGGTTTCTAAACTGAAGAAATCGTATGTTCTCCCTCATATGTGGACATTGAGATCAAGGGCAAACACAACAAGTGGATGGACTTTGAGCACATGATAAAAGCGAGACAAGGAGGGAAGGATAGGTAAACACCTAAAAACTTAGCTAGCATTTGTTGCCCCTTAATGCAGAGAAACTAAAGCAGATACCTTAAAGCAACTGAGGCCAATAGGAAAGGGGACCAGGAACTAGAGAAAAGGTTAGATCAAAAGAATTAACTAGAAGTAACACACATGCAACAGAAATCAGTGTGAGTCAATCCCTGTATAGCTATCCTTATCTAACCAGCAAAAACCCTTGTCCTTCCTATTATTGCTTATACTCTCTTCACAACAAAATTAGAATAAGGCAAAATAGTTCTGCTGGTATTGGAGGGGTGGGGGAGAGGAGGGGCGAGTGGGTGGTAAGGGAGGGGGTGGGGTATGACCCAAGCCTTGTATGCACATATGAATAATAAAACAATAATAATAATTAAAAAAAAAAAACAAATCATTAGGGAAAGGTGGACAAACAAACAGGGAGCAAAACAAACAAACAAACACATAAAAAAATTCCTGGTTCTGGAACAAGAGAATTTCAGTCTTAGTAGTTCTGGTGTTACTCATTCAGCATCCAGTCCTGGTTTTGGTATTCAAGCAGATGCTCTGTCTTGGTCTCGCCAGGTGGCTAGGGAGACTCACCAATTTATTTTCCTGTCTTTCAGCAGCAGCTGCTTAGTCAGCTCCTCCCTCAGTGAGTTGTGGCTTGTCTGCAGTTTCCAGAGATCAGCTCTGTGGCCCACCAGCCATCTTGCTTTGCAGTTGGGTTTTTGCTGTGTTGGTTTATTGGGGACTTGTTTCTTTGCCTCATCAACTTTCTTTGGGGCAAGGTCAGAGATCCACCAGCTGACTCCCTGCTGTCAGTGTGTTATGCTGGTTTACTGATTGTTTTTCAATTTTGCCATGTTGTTTAACTTTGGATATTGCTCACTGTCTCAGGAGATAAGCTTTGTGAACTGTTAACTGCCCTAGTTCAAGCAGCAGCTTATCATCCGCCCACTGTCAGCTCTTCTGCCTTTCCAGTCTGTTTGCTGAAAGTTCCCCTGGAGATCAGTTCCTTGACCCTACCCCCATCTCCGGTGCACTTACAGCACCCTGCCCCTCTGCTGCATGTTCCTTTTCAGGTCCTTGTTTATTATTCAGTTTTGGTTTTTTTTTGCAGGGCTGAGGGGTGGTCAGTCTGTCCAGAGGCTATGCTGGTTTATCCCAGGGGTGGCTATGAGAATATCACCTATTGGTCTGCCTGACGTCTCCCAAGCAAGTTTGGAGCGGGCGTCTGGTGGCATGGGAGCCCTACTGTTTTCTCAGTGTAACGTGGCATGGAGAAGCTTTGTACAGGCTGGGGGTTCAGGGTGTCAAAGTTTTGATTCTTCTTGGTGTTTTTTATTCTGCCAAGTGTGACTCCAGCGTCTCAGCAAGATTTTTGATTTACGGAGCTCACACTGTCAGCTTCAGCACTCTGGTAGCCATCTTGGATCCTTGCCTCTCATCTCTTGTTTCTTATATTTGTAGAGAGCTGAGAGAATAATAATGGTCAAAGATAATGGATCTGGGTGGCTAAGATGGATGCTAAAACAGGGAGGTATATCCAGGCCTACCCAAATCACACAGACGAAAGGCATGTCCTGGGTTCTCCATTACCTTTCATTCTTTCCCTGCCAATTATTAGCACAAAATTCTCAAATACCCAAATGCTCAGAGAAGTTTCCAAACAAGGGATCCAAAATTTCTTGTCAGACAAAGAGCAAAAAGCCCAAATGGTTCAAAAGAAGTCCAAATGGCCCAGAAGAGCCTCTGGACAACAAGGACAAGGAAAGTGAAGACCTGAGGCACAACTATCAGGGAGAATTCACCAAGTTCCATACAGTCCAGATGCTCATTTCTCTGCCTCATCAGATGTTGGCAAAAAGCAGTTGATGTTGGCTGAAGTGGAAGGGTGAGAAAAAGTTTCTGGAGGAAAAGTAATTCTAGCAGCTGCTGGGAACTGATTCCATCTTTCCTCTCCATCCAGGGTTGAATAGCTACAGGTAGCTAGTGCCTAAGTGGCACATTTTTTTCCTGGCATGACTTGCCAAAGCTGAAACCAAAGTATTGGACCTAAGGCCCAGACTCCTGAGATTCCATATTCCAGGTCCAGCCACCTGCTCCTAAATGCCAAATAAAGGGGCATGGTAAAGGCAGAGAAAGGAAATTTATTACATAGCTTGGGACATGCTGTAGGAAGAGGCAGAGTAAGCACTCAGCTCATCCTCAGCCATCTTCAGGGTATGCACATGACCTATAGGTTTAAGTAGATAACTGAACTGGGAGCGGGGGACAAAGATATACATAAGCAGTCCCAGTCATGGGTGTGTTCTGGTTGGTCATTATCTCAGTCCAAGGGTTCCCAGAGGGGTTCTGAAAAAGATGTTATTGCTGTCATCATTTGAGGGGAGCAATCTGATTCCCATAAGATAATTGCTCCTGCTTCAGGGTGCAGCCTCATCATTACAGATAATTATCTTCATTTGGAGGGGTGGTCTGTCCACTGTTCCTTATGGGAAGTTTCAGTCCCTTGTCATAAAGATGTTATCAGTTCTGTCCCTTCTGGAATCCAAGGTAATTGCAAAGTGACTGTAACAAGACTGGCTTAGAGCAAAGACAGATAACAAAATGGAGGGAGAGAATGCAAGCTTCTCCTGTTTTTAGCTAATTTGTGGGCCTAAGAATGAGTCAATGCTTTTCAGCAAAAGCTGTTTGAGCACTTCTTACATCCTTTATGTTCCGTGGGGTTTTGTTTTAATGATTAACCTTTTTAATAATCCTTTTGTTGTTGTTGTTTTTATAAGAATGCTTAACCTTTCCCTTACATGATAGCACATTTTCTTTATTTATTCATCAAAAGACATTTGAGTTATTTTCATATCTTTATTATTGTGAATAATGCTGCAATGAACATGGGAAGGCAGATATTCTCTGAGACCCTCATTTCAATTCCATTGCATATATACCCAGAAATCAGATTACTGGATCATACAATAAATAGTTCTGTTTTTAATTTTTTGAGGAACCTGAATAGTGGCTGCACCATCTTACATTCCCATTCTAACAGTAAGCAAGGATTCCAGTGGGTTTTTTCACAATCTTGCTAATATTTATTCTTTTGTTTTTCTGATACTAGCCATCCTAACAGTTATAGGATGATATCTCATTACAGTTTTGATTTGCATTGTTCTGATAATTAATATTGTTGAATGCTTTTTCATATGTCTAATGGCCATTTTTGTGTCTTATTTGGAGCAATATATATTCCATTTCATTGCCCATGTTTTAGTAGGGGATATTCTGTTTGCAAATATTTTCTCCAGTTCTGTAGTTTGCCTTGTCACTCTGAAGCTTTTCAATTTTATGCAATCCCATGTATCTGTTTTTTGGCTTTGTTTCCTATGTTTTCAAGGTCATATCCAAGAGTCACTCCTAATGCTAATGTCAAGGGAGTTTTCTCTTATGTTTTTACTAGGAATTTTAGAGATCCAAATCTTATATTCTGATCCATTTTGATTTTATTTCTCTGTGTAATACAAGATAAAGGTCCAATTTCATTCTTTTGAAATTAATGATCTAAAACTATTGTTTCTAGCTCACATCCTCCCTTTTGACAGCATGAATTTGAAAATAAGTTATCTATTTAGTGATAGATAACAAATTATTCTTTTTTATCCCACAGGACTTCAGACACAAAGCAGCAGTAAACAACTTGTCCTTGAATGCATATGAGGGGCAGGTCACTATTCTTCTGGGGCATAATGGAGCAGGAAAGACCACAACCTTGTCTGTTCTTACAGGTAGGTAAGTCATCTCCATTCAGAGCAAAGAACGGGTTCTTTCCAAGACTCAAAAACTAAGTTTTGCTGAGGCATCCTTACCATTGGTCCCTCCAGAAACATCAAAATAACTATTATATTTGAACCAAAATTGTTTCATGAGAAATTCACAATCCAGTTAAGAAATTATAGCACCCTGGACAAACACAAAGTGGAGAAAAATTGCACCAATGCAGGTAAAAAGAGAAAATTTATTTAGATCATTCAGCCCCCTTCTCCCAAGAGTTTAGATGTCAGCCTAGAGAATCATTTTGGCCTATAACTTCTCCTTTGAAAGAAGGGGGAGGAGAGTGAAGTGACACAGCCTCCTGGATTTTCAGTGAGTTCCTCAAGGGCCTAATTTCTGTTTTACCTCATAACAAGTGCTGAAAGATTGGTAGATGTGGGATATCTGGGACAGCTAAGAACAAAAGATAAGGGACAGGTACCCTCTAACAGTCTTCGCTACTCTGAGAGATTCAGAAAGGGCTTTCCCCCAGGAAACGAGAGCAAATGAATGAAGTCTTATCCAAAATCTCTCAGTACACTTGCTGAGGAGCTGATTTCTATCTTGCCCCATCTGAGTGCTGAAAGAATGAAACCAGAGTTTTGGACCAAAGGCCCAAATGCCTGAAATTCCATATGCTACCTGCCCCTAGACACCAAATTAAAGGGGTATGGTAAAGGCAGAGAAAGGAGGTTTATTAGACAGCTCAGGACATGCCATAGGAAGAGGCAGAGTAAGCACTCAGCTCATCCTCAGACATTTTCAGGGTACAGACATGAGCTGTAGGTTTAAATAGACGAAAGATCTGGGAGCAGGGGACAAAGGTATGCATAGTTAAACAGTCCAGTCATAGGTGTGGTCTGGTTGGTCTCAGTTGGTGGGGCAGGCAGTCTTGGTCAGGCAGATGGTCTAGTGGGTTTTTGACTGGCAGAGCCTGCAGTCTCAGTCAGGCAAACGGTCTGGTTCAGTTTTGAAAGTTATCACCTGGAGGGAGTAATCTGGTTCCTGTTTGAGGATTCTTGGGATAGTTGTCCTCACTGGGAGGGTGACAGCTCCAGGTGGCTCCAGTTCATTGTCATAAAGATACTATCAGTTTTGTCCTTTTTGGAATCCAAGATGATTGTAAAGTAACTGTAAAGAGAATGGCTTAGAGCAAAGACAGATACAAAATGGAGACAAAGATGCCAAGCTTTTCCTATTTTTAGTTCATTTGTGGGCTCAAGTAAGGAGTCAGTGCTTTTCAGCAAAAGCAACTTGAGCACCTCTTACAAAGTGACTTCAAAGAAAATGGCTTAGAGCAAAGACAGATAAAAAATGGAGGCAGGGATGCCAAGCTTCTGTTTTTAGTTAATTTGTGTGCCTATGTAAGGAGTCAGTGCTTTTCAGCAAAAGCAGTTTGAGCACCTCTTACAAGAGAGTAAAGTCAAGATATCATATCTGGGACAGCTGAAAATAAAAGAAAAGGAGCAGGAATCTTTCTAGAGTTGATACTACTCTGCAAGACTGAAGAAAGGTACAGGACCAAGACTGTTCTTCCATAGGAGAGGGAAAAAAGTGAAGCATGCCTTATTTCAAAGCCTTTCAGTGTATCCCCTAAGAACCTCATATTGAACCCTGTAAAGACATGCTGTACAATTTAGAACAGCTTCCAAGTTTCCACACAAAATCACAGATCCTTGAGATATACAAGCATAAAAAGCATTTCAAGGTATCTCTCAACAAGATGTCTCACAAGGTTGAAGTTTTAGCAAGAATTTTAGTATAACAAAGTAAAGTATGGACAAGGTGGGGTGGAGGGCAGAGAGAAACATTTCCTGTTCCCCACGCAGAAAATGGGAGCAAAGACTAAAACTTGTGGTCCAGTATCTATGGTTTTATACTTTCCTTGGATGGGAGAATCCACATCTCCAGAAGTCTAACAACCCTACCCATTAGTTCTAAGTGCCAAAGACAGGTGCTGTTTATTATTGTAAAATATGGAGATGTTTCTTACCCCTATCCAAAACACAGGGACAACAGGTGAGTTTTAGCACTTCCCTTTGCCAAACAAGCCTTTTTCTCTACCCATTTAAGGATCCTTACAACTTGTTAGCATCTCAAAGAGGAAGGCAGATGTAGGTAGCCCCTTTAAGTCTCCTGCTTCTGTATCTTGACATCTAAGAGGAGATGAAAGTGGCTAGTTCCTCTGGCTTTTCAGTTTTTACTTTCTTGTTTAAATGTCTGAGTCTGTCCCTTTAAATATTTATTGAAATAATGGAATTTCCCTGTTTCTTCATCTGTCTATCCTGCCTCAGTACCTATAGTTAACAATACTGTATTGTGTACTTTACAATATGTTAAAAAAAAAAAAAAAGGGGGGTTAGGGGTGTGTCTTAACTGGTAGAGCCTAACAGTTCCTGAGTTCAAACACAAAAGCAAAAAAGCTGTAAAATAGAACTAACAGATTGATACCCATTTTGAGTCCATCAGGTTCTTGTCAAGCGAGGAATGACAAGACCTGACAACCAGTGAGCAGAAGAGAAATTTATTGGAGTAAAGAAAGATAGGACACCTGTGGGTAGGACTCAGAAAGACATGAGCCAGCTGCATGTATAGAAGTCTTTATCTACTTTTTTTTGTCATCCAACTTGGGGCAGACCTTGCAAGTCTCTGGATGTAGCTCTCTGAGAAGTGGGCACCCGATTTTTTCCTTGTAGGGTCTTGGAGTGCCTTTTTCCTTAACACCCCCCACCACATGCCTGCCTGTTCTAGGCCCTCTTTGAGGTTAGCTGTTCACAAAGTTTAACCCACTCTTTATTTAAGAGTAATTTACATCTTAAAAGTCAGCTAAGTTTACATAGGTGTACTTAACAAGACAATGACCAAATCTAGAAGCTGGATAGAGTAAAGTTTAGAAATTTCAAACAGACTCTCTGTTGGTCTGATGGAGTGGCTCAAGAGTTAGAATTCCAGCCTAGCACGTGCAAGGACCTGAATTCAAACCCCACACTACCAGAGACTCTCTATCAGTTAGAGCAGGAACTGATAGTTTACATAAGTAATCTCTTTGCCATTTAACAAGACAATGGCCCCAAATCCAGGAGATTATCCCAGTGGCCAAACAAACCCAAAGTTTTAACTAGCATTCCATCTTTAAAGCCTAACCCCATGTTTCTCCCTTGAAGAGATTTACCCCTGACCTGATGAAAGTACATTCCTTTCCCAGTTAACTCCACCATTATTTTTATTATAATCTTTGTGTCTTGTTTGCATTCTTTTCCTGCCAGATACAAGAACTGAGATATTTATCAAAGCTACTTTTTGATAACATACTTGCTGACTTTGATCACTCTCTTATGGCCTCTAGCCTTAACTGCCTGAGAGCAAGCTAGCTCCTAACAATATGATCCAGTAAATACACTTGACTTCATATCCAAAAATACTGAAATCAGAATCTTAAGATAGATACACTTGCGCACACTCATGCACCTGCCAGCATGGCCAAGATGTAGATGTAGAAGCAGTCTGAATTTCCATCAATAAATGAGTGGATAAATAAAATGTAGTATATTCATGCAGTGGAATATTCAGACTTTAAAGAGAAGGAAATCCTGCTATATGCTACAATATGGATGAACCTTGATGGTATTATGCAAAGTAAATAAGCCAATTACAAAAAGACAAGTACAGTGTGATTCCAGTGAGGAACATAAGAGATATCTAAAGTAACCAAAGTCATAGAAACAGGAAGTAAAATGATGGTTAGCAGAGACTGGAGGAAGTTGGACATGTTTAACATAATAAATTTTATGTGTGTTTTTACTGTTACCAGGAAAATAGCACTGATAAATATACCTCTGTCCTTGTGTCCAGCAGGAGAAGAATTCAAGCAATATTCAAAGATTATGGTAAAAGTAGCAGTAAAGTTTATTAGGAAAAGAAAACAATTTCTGAAAGTGGTTTGCCTCAAGGGAAAGAACTATGAGCCAGGCTTTAAAGTTGGAATATTTTTTGAGAAACAGTTAGCTTTGGGTCCTTTCAGCCCCTGGGATGATTTCCTGGGTTTGGGTCATTGTCTTGTTAAATAAGAGAAACATTGAATGAACTTCTAGTTTCTGCTCTAATTGATAGGGAATTACTGTTTGAAATTCCTAACTTTTGCTTTATCTAGCTCTTAGGTCTGGGTTTTTGTTTTGTTAAATTTGTTTGTGCATACTCCCAGTGCCAGGCCTAGCTGGTGTTTAGAATGTAGATTACTCTTGGGTAAAGAGTGGATTAAGTTTTAGGTTAGTGGCTAACTTGAAAGCATCCTGTGATACCTTATCTTAATAGAGATTAGTAGAGTTGGGAAGTTCAATTAAAATGATTTTTTCCTTCCTTGCTCTTGTCAGACACCCCTTGTGTCTGACTGCTTGGTACCCATCATTTACTACAATTATTTTTTTTTAATTTAATAGTAAGAAAGTTTGGTGGCACTTAATTTATTTGACCCGTCCCTTCTCTGGTTCAGTGGCAGTCTTGAAGATGGCAGTCCCAGAAGGAGATCCTGGTTCCTGGGTTCAGCAAATCATACTCACAAATTACTTTCTATGTGTGCATTAAACTGTGTGATCTATCTGAAAGACTATGAATACAAGGTATTCATCTCCTTTTTGATTAATACAGAATTCATGGCAGAAAAAAAATGCTGGCATTACTTTGTACATTGTAAAGCAAAGCAAACCAAAATTTGAGGCCAACTCCAGCAAAATACTGTATTTGCATAGACCTCCTAAAACCAGCACGAAAAATCTGAAGATAGTTAAAATTAAGGCATTCAAAAGAACCACATATATAGTGGAAAAGCCAAAATATGTGTCCAGGACAAAACACATGTTGAAAAAAGACCTGAGATGACCCCATGATTTTACCTCTGGCTGCTATCTGTACTCCATACAGTCTGTTTAAATGTTAAAGAAGTGCCCCCAACAAGGGGCAGTATTTAAAACTAAGAGAA